TTGTATCATTTTATTATTTTTATTAAAGTGACAAAAAAATGTATTTTATATCAAAAATACGGGAAAGTTGAAAATTGCAATGACAATAATTTTTCAAAAACTGTTTTTCAACGATATTACTGTAAAGAGAAATTATACAGAAAATATTTAAAGCAAAAAAACTTTTTTTTATACCGATCATATTTTTTCTCAAATGCAAAATTATTTGTAAAATAAAAGATTAAATAGTATACACATTGTGGACTGTACAATAATTAAGATTTTTTTATTGTAATGTTGTAAAAAAAAATTGTTCAAGGTTTTTTTATTGGTGAATAAAAATAAAAATATATTGTACCATCCACAATGAGCTTAAGGATAGTAGAAGGATAGTAGTGATAAGAAATAAAGATGCCATACATCGCAGAGAAAGCACACATTTATTTACATAGCCGTAATCTTGTAAAGTTGAAAAACAACAGTTTTTATTTTCTCTGGTTTGCGACGATTACAACATCGATGAAACAACATATAAATTTTTTAGCATTCTCTTCATTCATCACATTAAAAACTATTTCATCCTCAAACTTGACTGTCTTTTACATTAAAAACTTGTCGTACGTGCAAATATTATAAGTAATCCAATCGAAATACAATATAACACAATTTTTCTAAAAATCCATAAAGCTATGCAACAACAATATGCTTCATTGAATTTTCTCAAGATATTACTTAGTATAGGTAGCCTAAAATTTTAAGTTGTGTTAAAACATCTATTTTCTGTCACCTGTTATCGAAGTGGAACCAAAAAATTCTTCAAGCTCTGGAAAAAAACTTGATATTCCACGACGTTAAAGTGAAAGCTCGGCGAGCGAATAACGTGCTAAGTGATGCACTGAATTCTAATAATAAAGTCTGCGAATGAGAAAGCCACTGCGAGCATATTCTGTGACAGCGTGTTCCAAAATAACGCGGGAAATAACGAAAATAAAATTTCGCGTAAGCACGACTGATTCATGAGGCAATAATTTACGGATGAAATGAGAGAAGGATTTTTTTGCCCCGACATCAAAGAATGCGATCGTGAAATGTTAAAAACTATTTTAAATGACTAGACTGACTGTGGTGAAAAGAATTATCGGTTAACTAAAGTTGCAACGAGTTTAAAGAATCAACATACTTTTGAAGTAAACATTTTATTACTTTTTAATCATAAAATTTATATTTCCAACAACTATACTTTATCTCATTGTGACAAATTCTTTGATATATCGTTACATTAATGGTGCCTGTGACTAGAAGAAGAAAAAACATTTCACGCCTAGTTTGGCAAAAAAAAGGGAGAAATTTGTTACTTATATATTGTTTATGGAAATGCTCAGGCGGAAATGGTCTTGGCACTTGATGTACACTCCGGCGAGTTCACATTACACATGTTCATGTGACACAAATTAGTACATGATTTTATCAACCAACCAATAATCTTATATATCCAGTTATAAAGCTTTAAATATCACCTCACGTTTTTCTTCAAAGCATCCGATTTACATTAATCAAGCATCTTTTGTTTAATAGTTTTATTTAGCCTCTATCACCAAAAATTAATAAAAAAAAAAAAAAAGAGAGAGAGAGAAAAAAAAAATTAAGAAAAAAAAAATTACAAGCGCTTTGTCGTAAAACTACAATATTAATGTCTATACTTTGCGTATCTTGCAAATATTTCTCATTCGTTCATTTGTTTTGTATCATTTCGTTAATTCTTCTCAAGTATTACCACCACCACTACCATCATGTCTTTGGATTTTCGCACCTGAACCCTCTGATACTTCTTCTCAGTAATTGACGTGCTTATTTAATTTGTTTTAATTAACCCCGTATAGCGAGCGTCTGTTACCTGGCACCTGCAAGGTCGCTGATGTCACGGCCGAGCCCAGGTGGTTCGTCGCTGTACAGGCGTACGTGCCAGCGTCGTCTGAAATTTCGAGAAATGAGGTCAGTCAAGAGCTCGAACGACTTTTTCTATTTGCATGCTCGAAGAATTGGTGCGTACTAATGTTGTGAAAATAGTTTGGTGATTCAAGTAGAGTTTTCTACAAAATCCAAAACTTTTTCTCATGAATCAACAATGTTCATGTTTTAATTATTAAGCTTATCGTATAGGGACATGGCACTAAATGATACTAACCAGGGGTAGTTCGAGTCAAAGTAAGACGACAAACGCCATTTCTGTAGTAAACTTCGACATTGTAAGAATTTTCAATAACCCTGCCGTCCTTAGACCACATCACGTTTGGCTGTGGCTCAGCTTGAACGATGCATTCAAAACGTGCCGTTTGCCCGCTCACAACTGCGATGTCTCTTAGTGGCTAGAAATACAAAATAAAACGTTCTTATTAGGTGAATTGATCTTTCTGAGTAAAACTTTGATTAAATGACTAGTTGAATTCAATTTTTTTTCAGATCTCTCTTAGAAACGATTATTAAAAGCCAATCTGTAGTCTAAATAAGTTTCAACTCCTATTGATCGTATAAAATAATGGTCTTGATTTTTAAAGGATTATAAAATCTTGTTCGAGCAATAGTAAGTGTATTAGTTACCGTTATAAATGATGGAGGTTTTTTTTGCAAAATCTCAATGTAGGGCTTGACAACCTCAATCTCTGTAGCCACGGGAATGATTCGTTCGCTGTTAGACGTTGACCACGGCGAACCTACAATGGAAATGGAATAAATGTACGGAACTAAAGCTAACCCAAAAAAAAAAAAACAATTTTTCAAGTTAAAGCTATGGTTGCAAGCACCAATGAAATTGTAAACTTCAACATTTATCTATAAAAGGATATCATCTTTGGATAAGCGGGTGACGTTAAATTGATCTGGTAATGAAAGGACGAACATGATTATAAAATTTTTAATAATAACAAACTGTGAAATAATGAATTTATCTTTCCTTACCAGTTAATGAATATCCTGGAAGCTCTAAAGGACGAAAACGAAAAGTTAATATCTATAGAGTGTACTCAAGAGTACAAATACGTGGGTGCACAATTATCAGAAAGAAATCAGAAAAGCTACATACATAAAAGACGTGCAAGTCACTGCGAACCATCGATCAATTTTGTGAAATATGAAAGTACTTAATATAAACACGTGACCATTAATGAAATATGCAATTTAAATATAGAAAATGTGAAATAACAATCACACCAAAAATGTACATATTTACAGTAACTCTAACATTTACAAGGTAGAATGGATGTCTTATGAGAAAACCAGTATTAATGAATGATTTTGAATTAGTATGAGACTCGGAAGAGGAAAAACTTTAATGAAAAGTCCATCATATTATTTTAATAAATGTATAAGCATGAAATGAATAACATAGTGTGAAATTTGACAAATTTTTAAGTGAGTGGTATGGATTATCATTACATTTGTTTTGATACATTTTCAATGAATTATTTTGTAAAATGCTTAAAAAAAAAAGTTTCAACTTACGTAACAAATGAATAATATTTACGAAAATGCTACCATAACGTACGATTAAATGAAAACAATTGGTTGAATGTACGTATTTTTCTTAATAACCAATAAAAGATTGAACATCTCCAACTTTCACCGATTATCGTCTTGGAATTGCAAATCAGTCATGGCCATCACCGATACGATACATTTTAATACTGGTTTACTGGGACAGTGTATAATTGCCATTATATTGTTGGGTAAATATCAACATCATCCGTGTTTTGTTGTGGGATACCTGGCGTTGAATCGATGTTACTTGGTGGCCCGCAGTGCGGACTCAGACTAGGTAAGCTCGGACTAAGTGACGCTGGACTTGGGGTTGTCGGGTCCCACCTAGGCGATGGCGAAGGTGGTATCAAGAGACTCGGTGATGGAGGTATTTTGTTGCGATCACCATTTGTGATGAAATCCTCGGCCTCCGAGTATTCACTCTCGGAGGTTGGCTCCCACTTGACGCTTTTACCAGGATATTTAGGGACAGGCTTGCGAGGCAGTGTCGATGAGGAAAAGTGATTGTTCGTAGGCGCCGTCGGATAGCTAGCCTTAGGTTTGCTGAACCCGTTCTCCTTGCGGCTGGACGTAAACTCGTGTATGATCGGCACATCGACATCTCCAGGCTTACGTTGGCCTTGGTAACTTTTGTTGCTACTTGTTACTGTGCGCTTTCCTTCGCCTGGCAGTACTATGCCAAACTCGTAGCCGAAATCGTACTTGAAGTAGATCAGGCCCGTGTCCGGATCGATCTGCTTTGTGCCTGAATTACACGTGGGGAGATTGATGGAGTTTTTCTTTTTTTTTTTTTTTTTTCTTCAAGTAATACTATGTTTTTACCGAAATTCTACATCGTTATAATCAACCAGTTTGCTATTTGAAGCTAGTCAAGAACGCTCGAATAAAGTGTGTGTGTGTGTGTGTGTGTGTGTATATATTTAGTTTACTATCTTAAGTATGGATCCGAAATTTTAACGCTTGACTTATTTGAACCTTGATTTTTTTTAAATGCCTTTAAAATGGAAAGAAAATCTTACTGTGACTCGCAGGAAAAATAAGACAAAAAAAAATACGTAGAAAGCAAAAGCTCGAATTCATAGTTTACTAATTAATCTGCAATACTTGGAAAAAAAAAAAAAAAACAATAAATGTATTATTTTACCATATTGTGCCACTCTTGATTCTTCCCTATAAGCCCTCGAATCGTCTCCGACATCTGTACCGTTTCCTGCATCCGTGGATGTCGAGCGCTTCAAAATCGGCTTACTTCGCTTTTTTAAATCAGATTGTATATCACTTGAGAATTTCTCTGTTTTCGATTTGAAGTTACTCGTCATATCCTGTATATGCTTCGTGGCTACGTCTGTGAATTTCGAGATTACTCAAAAACAGAATCGACACCCATAACGCCAAGTAAAAAAAAAAAAAAAAAAACAATAGTCATAATAAATTCCGATTTTCCTATAGACAAGCAAACACAGGACGATAACTGAAATAATTTATTATATTCTAATGTTAATACGATATTATTATACGAAACTCCCGAATGATTTGGTTGTATGAACATATCTAGAGTTATAATGTATTAGCGTCAGAAAAAGTGTTAAAAAAAATTGTGTGTTTCGCCTTACGATTCGCAGTCTTCTGAAATTCGCGTCCAGATGCGTACGCATACTCTGGAGGTGAGCCTGGTTTAAGCTCATGATCATCAATGACTTGCTGACTCCTGGTTGTGTCTCTAAACGAGTATCGCCTTTCGCTCTCGGATCTTTCCGTTTCTGATTCACTTGGCATTGTGATCACGGGTGACTTGGTAACTTTACTTCTGGGTGGCTGCACCTTACGATATCGCGGCTCTTCGGTCTCACTTTCGCTGGGTGCCCACTTGGCCCGAATCCTGTTGGTATCGGCATCACTTTCATAGTCGGATTCACGAAACTGACCTTGGACGAACTTTGTCGGTGTTGGAATGGTAAATGAATTTTTCTTCATTTGCTGTTGATTATCCTGTGGTCTTGTGTAACGCTGTATTTCGTGTTGCATCTGGTTTTCGCCAAACTTTATTACTCGACTTGTTTGTTCGACCGTCACGATTCTTCTCGTGTTTTCCGTTGACTCATCCATACGAACGGTCTTTTTCGTTTCCGTACCTATTGCATTGTGAAATGGAATGCTATTTTGTCCTTCGTAAAAGGATTGCCTTGGAGGCGCGTAAGCCATTTCTGGCGGAGTACCGGGAAGCAGTATCGACTTGGGCTTGGGTTTTTCTTCCTTAGCAGTTTCTCTCTTAGTGACTGCCTCCTTCGTTGTTTCTTCAAATGTCGAAGGAGCTGCCGTTGAGATTCCTATTTCGAAACAAAGGATTTTTCCAACGAATGATAAGTGATGTGATGCATGGTAAAAGTAGAAGAATCACGGCGAACTCGAAGACAGATATGCTTTTAGGTGTGAGTATGTGAAGTATGATGCACAACAATCAAGAAATGCTGATAGAAAATTGAGAGCAAAGCAAAACAGCAAGCAAGCAAACGACAAAAGCCAAAACTACCTGTGTCAATAGCTCAGCGAACAAGCAATTGGAGTTAAAAAAAACTGTAGAGGAAAGAAGCGCACAAAGTAAATCTAATGATAGTGGGTATGCATAAAGCAAGAAAGTAACAACTTTTATTTTTTTTTTATTAATATTTTTAATTTAGACTAGAAAAAAGATGCCTAAGTAAGAAGTTTCAAGCAAAGGCCAATAAAAATCTGAATATTTGGAGAATGTCCCAATTTTTTAAACGTTTTTTTCTAGCTTTCATTGTAGCAATATGTTTAAGTTGGAAGTTTTTTTTTTAACTATAAACATTACCAAGTTTTTTTTCATCTGCCTGGAATTTTCGTTACATAAAATTTACAGTACTATTTGTAATTGACTATATTTATTATCCATAAGCTTTCTGGGACATTATCCTTAAAAGAAGAAGTACCGTTTGGTGCGAGATTGGAACGAACCTGAACGAGAAAAAGATGATTTCATTGTTTTGAAAGATGATAAATTTGATTCCGTCAATGTTTGAGACGATGATTGTGGTTTCCAATTCGATGATATCCTATTACCATCATAGTCACTTTCGTAATCGCTTTCACGAAACTCACCCTTAGTCAATCTTGATGATCCTTTGCTCATTTGAGTCATCTCCTAAAAAATATAAAATGATTGAAAAATTTCACTCGTAAAAAAATTTGGAAGCTAAAAAAGTCAAAGTAAATATACGCTTGATTAAAATTAAGTATGGTGGTCAATATTATTAATATGGGAATAAAAAAAATTAGCATTCTGCATTATACATAGGTGAAACGACTATTTGAAACACTAGGGTCCAGCGGATGTTAGTTAATTTTCTAGCCATTGTTTAATATACACACAACATTTAATTATTTACGAAAAACTAGCACACGTTATTTCGTTCTTTTTCGAACCTTAGTAGGATCTGGTTTATATCGCGGTTGTGGTGACTTTTCAACTATCTTCTCAACGTAAGAAGTTCGTTGCATCTCAGTTTTAGGTAAACTAGAATAGGATTGAGATTGTGAGTATGTGGATGCGGATGAGGTACTGTCTTTTTTGTGAGAGCTTTCGTAACTTTTGGTTTCCATGAAACTAGATTTTGATTCATAGAATGATGAGCTAGATTCAGAGAAAGATTTATGTTGTTGAAGGTTTAATGGTTCATCAGTGTCAGCCATGTATCCACTTTCTTTTTGATAAGTTTTTGTTTTAAATTTTGGTGATTCGGGTTTGTAAGTCTTCGTCGTAGAAGATTTTGTTGGTTGAACATAAACAGGAGGTGAACCAGGTTTCGGTAATGTTTCGTATTGTTGAGCTTGAGTGTTCTTTTGTTGATATTGTCGAGAATCTTTTTCATACAGTTGAGATGATTTTTCAGTTATAGACTCACTCAAGCTAGAACTTACACCTAGCCTAGCTGGTCCTGACAGAGTTGACGGCGATTCAAATTTTGATGGAGGTATTATGTCGGTTTCAGTAGATGTGGGTCTATGAGAAGGGGTAGGTGTAGGAGGTTGTACCCTTCTATAGCCGGTTGCTCGTTGATCGTAGTCACTTTCGTAAGAGCATAATTTTGATTTCGAAGTATCGATTTCAGATTCGTAATCACTTTCACTGTAAAATGAACTTCTCGAGTATTTTCTCGGTGAACACGTAGATTGTGGTGGGGCTGAGGGAGTGCTTACTTTGTATTCTTTTGAAATATATTCTTCAGTTGCTTTCGATTGAACTGTTGGTGCTGGCCTACTCATCCTTTCCATTGTTTCTGACTTTTCGTATCTCTTTTCTAAATAAGGACTTGGAGCATAATCTATTACTGGAGGAGAACCTGGCGTCAAAACTGGTGAAGAGAGGTTGGCTGGATGATACAATTTCACTGCAGGTTTTTTGCCTTCCATGACACTCCTTACCAAACTTGGAGCTTTTAAATCAATACCTTGATCATCAGGCCATGGCCTGGACGCCTGTTTTTTAACTGCTTCAAATTTTTTTTCTTTATTTTCTGTTTTATGAATATCACATTCAGACATGTATTTTTCTGTAACTGATTTTTTTTCAATAGTATTCACAGTATGATCCACTTTAATCGTTTCTGCATTATAAATTATGGGCTTAGGCTTTGGTGGTGGCGAAGGAGGTCGTTCGATTTTCTTCTCTTCCACACGAATTTCTTTCGATCCAAATGACTTTTTTTCCAACAAGTTTGAAGATTCGATGGTAGTTTGAGTCATGCGATATTCTGGCTTCATTTCTACTTCTTGTTTGGATTCTGACGAAGAAACTTTGTAATTTTGTTCAGGAAGACTCCATTCTTTTTTGTCGGTAAATACTGTTGATGATGAAGTATCTTGCGGTTGTTGTGGTGGCCATGACTTTTTACTAGAATCTGCACTTTTGCGTGCCCATGATTTTTCCATTGTTTTAGCTTCCGTAGACGTGGAAGTCGAATACCCTTCGTATTCTTTCTTTTCACTTTTCTTGACACACATTTCTGATTCAAGTTCAAAAGGTGGAGGAATAGATAGTGGCCGTGTGGGGCTAGGTTCTTGAGGTTTTGGCTGTGTTTTTGGTGCCGATGGAAATATTTTAACGCCACCTACAGGTACATCAGCTGGGAAAGCACTTTTTTCAAACGATTCTTGTAATTGTTTAGCTTTTGATGAAACATCGGGACGTGTTCTTGTTTGCTCTTCAGGTTTTGGAGCATATCCGATTTCTGGGGGTGGTTCAGGCACAAGATTAAATCCATTTAACATAGCCTCTGCACTATCCGACTGTGCTTCTAATTTTGAAATTGTTAAGGTACCATGGATTGGTGAGCCAGATGCTGTTACATCTTCCAATATAGTCCTTTTGCATTCCAAAGGTGCCAGTTTATATTCCTCGTAAGGAAAGCTGAACATCGTATTGTCTACACCGCGAGATGAAGTTCCTTTTTCAAATTTCTCGAAAGCGTCTTGCACGGCTTTTTTATTCACTTTTGGGATTTCACGAGAAGCTTCTTCAAACTTCGTAGTGCGTTCATAATTTTTTGTCAAATTTTCAACTCTTACATCACACCCAGGACCGGTTCCATCATCTTCATCAGTTAATTTAATCATGTCCCTTGGTCCTTTTGAAATGTTATCACCACTTTTTGACATGGATTCAAAGAAACTAAGAGCATCTTTACGTTTTACAGAAGACGTTTCAACATTTTCGTTTTCGGAGACTTGAGATTTTTCCTGGGAAAAATTACTTTCTTCTCTTTTTGAAGTGTCAAACGGTGCAGGTTTATGTTCAAGTTTCATATGGAATTTTTGTTCTGATTTGGTTTCGCTACGGTGTGATTCGGTTGAAGATGAAATCATTTCTGAACGGTATGCTTTTTGTGACTCTTCATTTGTGTTAGTTGTGATAGTTCGTATTGTAGAGGATGTGGATGTAGGAGGGAATGGTGTTTTGATGTTAGCACTAGGCTGAATCATCGTTGTTGTAATCTGCTCCGTGGTAAGGTTTGCGCCAGGTATCTCAGTAGGTAGACCGCAACAAGTCTAGTATTTAAATAATACTTTGAAATATTTGTTCATTTAAAAATAAGTAAGTGCATAAAACTATATTCGTAAAAATTTAACACAAACAAAGAATTTTGTTTCAAGTCTAAACTCTTACTCACTTTTTTCGCATTTTTGTCCGCAACATTTTCATAAACGAGAGTTTTATGCTGTTCCACCATTGTATCAGGTGTTGGTTCAAACACTGCAAAATCAGCAATACTTTGTGCTTCTCCGCCAGCATTCGCTGCTCTGACCATATATTTACCCGCATAGTCCTTTTCAGCTAAATTTTTGTTGTTGTTTTAGTTTCGTACGATTGTTGAAAGAAAATTTTTAATCTACCTTACCTTTATCTATCAATAAAAGATAACAATTTCCATGTTGTTTCATCCTATAATCAGGTCCTTCGATAAGAGGTTCATCATCTTTGTACCATGTCACGCTAGGTTCAGGTGTACCAGTGATTTCGACTTCCATAATTACCCTATCGCCTTTTTTAACGACTTGTGCTTGGAGTCGTCGTCCAAAGACAGGTGGAAATATTGTCTCTGTAAAAAAAAAGAAAGCATTAATATACATCTTGAATACTTAATTATTAAATTAATACGTATAACTGTACTTTTTACGACCAAATCTGCTGTGCTGCTGGCATTCCCTATATCGTTTCGTGCTGTGAAAAAACCAAGTACATTAAATTTATAAAATATTAAGCTTTATACATCATTTTGGACTGTTTTTTTAACAATACAACAAGCCATGCAGTATTCTTTGACTGCTGCGGCACGATGGTGGGCTTACTTTCAAATTAGAATTTTAAATATGGACTACACCACTTCTATACCATTGCATCCACTCATACTTTTTTTACTACACGATATTTTATCAAAATTTTTAGTAGTGTAGTCAGTAAACAGCTCAAGCAAACCTTTTTATTTTTCTTTACTCTGTTAATATCTAACTGAAAAGTTTTCAAGTGAATTATGTTTTGTCAATAAAAACGTGGTAGAAAGATCGATGACATATCAAAAAATAAGTAAAAAATTGGATGATACAGTCAATAGTGAAAATTAGGCTAATTCTGTAATAAAATAGACCTTTTCAATTAACATCAAGATTATAAGTTTTATTTGTTTGACTAAGTTTATTTGTTAATTTCATGAAGGTAACATTTCTAAAAAAATGACTTAGCATGTAATTTAAATAAAGCAAAAAAATTTATCAGCACAAGGCAAAAATACCTGATTATGCATATATAAAATTTTTGCCATTTAATTTTTAATAAAAACGTAAATATCTTACAGGCTAGTTGGAAAAGTGATGTATACCAACCTGTGCATGTATATCTACCAGCATCTTTGACTTTCACGTCTTTTATTTCCAATTTGACGTGATTATGATCATAACTCAATTTCATGCCGTTCTTAGCCAACAATTCTTGACCATTCTTGGTCCATGAGATGACGGGTAGTGGAAAACCTGCATTAACAAAAAAAACGTATTATTATATCAATACAAATCTATTGTATCAATGGTAAGTTGACGCACCATCGACTATTCCTTCTAGAACAATATCCGATCCTTGGTCAACTATCATACCGGTGACGGGGGAAACGAATCGTGGAGCAGTTTGCTTTCTACAAGGTTTTTGAATTTGTACTTGATGCTTGCACTCCTTCTGTGTTGTACCTCCCGAATCTTGAGTAACAACGACGGTCTTTTCTTGACGTATTTCACCTGGTGCTTCTTGTATAATTCGTTCATATTCTTCAATCTTCTGCGACTGTATGACATAGTAATAATAATAGTTAATTAAAAAAATTTTTTTTTCAATGAATCAATATTTCAATCCAAATTAAAAGAAACCAACCTTGACTACAGGTGGTGCCCCATTAAAAGCATTGGAGTGCTCAGAACTATGTGAAGACTTTTTAACACACACATTGGACGGTGAATGCAATGGACAACTGGGCAATGTCGAGGAATTCGTTGTCGTGATGTATTCCCTTTTCGTCGAGGTGTGCATGGTTGAAGATTCCACGATCGACGAGGTAGTTTTGGTGATCGTTTGGTTATTGCTTAAGCCACCCTCGCCCGTCTTCTCACTCACGAAGTACTTGTCACTACTGCTTGACGATTGCATCTCGAGGTTCACCGTAGGCTCTGGTATTGTTTCGATATACCCCTTCTCCGCCTCGATCCCTCCACCTATGTTTACGAGACATCACGATGATATTGATTTATCAATAGATCGATACAGGCAGATGCATTAGAAAAGGATAGGCTCAATGTTTGTCTCGTGTTCAAAAATAATTCTGTCCTTGTCAGAAGGAAATCAGTATTTTTCTCTACGCCTACACATTCATGCTTTGGGAAGTAAATCCAACATACTGATTAAAGTTACAATGTCACATCCCTTTTTAATACTAGCGCTCATACACCCAATTATTCTTTTAAAATTTTTTAAATTCCTTAATCCAAAATTGTGTATTAATTGATGAAAATGTTTGCTATTCAAATACAGAACAGTTATCTTCGCAAGGATTTCAAATTTTTCATACATTTTGGTAGGATGGAATTGGTTTTTGGTCGACTAACGTTAGCAACTAAATTTTTGAGAAAAAAGGTACAACTTTTTTCTTAATTTCTTGCGGGTTCCACTAATACCTTACAGTGTTCGCTCGGTTCTATACATCGCAGAAATTGCGCTCTTTTCATTAGCTTTTGTTTCTTTTTTGACACACGCTCTCTCTTTTTCATCGAGCAAGTGTCGATAGAAAGATTGACAAGATTGACAGGTATCGCGGACATCTGTACGTGAGCCCAAGGAAGTTGACCACGCCGATAGTTCCCAACACGTAAATACACGCATGCTACAATTTGCACCTATGCAGTACAGTAATTCTTACCGCGCGACCCTTGAGACTTGAGCTACGAGCAATGCGAAAATAGACGGCCTGATTCGTCAAATGACGAATACGAAGGGAGAGAGAGAGAAAGAGAGACAGCGAGGAAGATGCATGCAATCACACCTGCTGACTGAGCAGCAGCGGCACAGCTTCTAGCGTCTACTCTACTATCCGCTTTGGTCGCTGTAACCAATGATATACGGACCCATTATAATTCGACCGATGGAATTCAACTATTGTGCAATCGGGGATGTTAGAGGTGAGCGCGGGTCTAGCGATTTTTCGACCTCGCTTTCGTTTGTTAGTTTAGTGGTGCGTGAAAATGTACAATTTTACAAAGCTTGAATCTCTAAGATATGTATACGGCGTGTAAATTTAGTTCAGCACTGTTTGGTATCAACAGTTGGTCCGATTGTGGTTCTACTACAAAAAATTTTGAGCTTCTTGTAGGCTGTAAACTGTTTACGTTTGACATATTGGACAAGTGACTTTTTTTTTGTCATCATTATCCATGATTGCTCTTAAAGAATACGATGATAAAATGAATATATTTATTATTTATATTATTATATGAGCCCAAGTTATTTCAAGTGATTGAAAAATTACAAAAGCGTAGAATATCAGGGACAAAAATAAATGTAAGCTAGTACTTGTGTAAGTAAATGACAAAGTTCTTTCGGTGCAAATATTTGCATTGTGAATCACGGTGAGGTATCTCGGTAAGAGAATCTCTCTGTGACAGATGCATGGAATATGACGAAAATAAATTAGTCGGATATAACGTTCATTACAAGTCATACGCAGCAATGCATTGAAACACATGGATGGACAGTATTGGGCAGAGGCTTAAATTTCTCAAAGTTGTCCCAACTCTAGGCAAGCTTCATCTTGTTAACTCTAAAAAAAGACTTGCAATTATAGAGTTCGATGATGCAATATAAGTAAAAATAAAGCGCTGTTGGTATTATATGAATTCAAGCAATGTAACTTTTTATTGAATCAAAGAGAAAACGAAACTGACGCCAAAGCATATTATATAGTTTTTACAAAAAATGACATTAAATCATTATGTATAATACTCGTTCTATAATAAATCCATAAAAAATATAATGGTGTACTGTAGTTATTTGACAATGATCATTTTATTAACGCGATAAAAAATTATTAACTAAAAAAATTATGTGGAAGTAATAGATACTTGTGTACTAAAAAGAAGTCAGTAAAGTAATTGTCTCAACTAATTTTTTTGTCTCTTTTGTTGAATACTTTAGTCAGGGATCCAAACAACCCTTCAGGAGGTTATTTTATGCACACATAAAAATGAATTATTATTAGTTGAATTTATATAATAAAATAAATTTAAAAAGTCCAATGGACCATAACAATAATGAATATTTGTTGCTACGCGTAGTGAAGTTATCAATTAATTTCCATCTTCTTGATTTCTATTTGTTTCTTTAAAAAAATAAAATCATTTCAATCATTTTTGTGCAATGATTCTACCAAAATAGTTAGTACATATATATACTTCTCATCTAATGTTTTAACATTGAAACCATTCAATCTCAACATCCCTTTAAATTGTGCGATGAATCCCTTGAAAGATTTACGAATCAATGTGGCGACGGTCCCTCTTCAATAATTGCCCCATCACTTCCGTTTTTGTTTCGTATGCGAGCACATTCGCACGAGCAAGTGGTAAAATATAAGAGCTTAACTTCACACTCGCAATGGATTAGGCTGGCTGAAATCCAAAATATTGTGCAAATGCATTTGGATTCGAGAATGGACAACCAGCTGGAACGAGGAATTAAATTCGACTCTTCGTGACTTGTACAAGTAGTGGCCCAAAGCAAGAACCACTGCAACAGGCTAGATATATGCTGCTAGCTAGTTGCTGCTCGTAAACTGCCTACTTGTCCATCCACACGCGACTGTGGATTTGCGCGGCGTACAATTAGCGACTCTTTACTGCCTACTTCGTGCCTAATAAATCTGTTGCCGTGCTTACACTTGTGAATATGAATGTCATCTTACTTTTTGGAAATATCTTGCACCGCACAAGATCAGATTTAAAAAAAAAAAAAAAAAAAAAAAAAAAATTTATTGCTGATTTTATTTCACGATCTGTTTCAAAATTTAACTATGGACATAAAACTTGATGGTTCGATTGTAGGTACTTAGCAATTTGTTGTGACTCTAAATTGAGTGGAACTATAAACTAAAACTAATAAAAATGAATTTTATAATCTGCTTTTACAATTAAAACATCTTAATGGTCTCATTACTTTTTGGTAAATTTGTATATTTATTTGTGTATTTATTTGGATGTGAAACGATAAATAATAGCTAAAATTTTTCGAAACACTTGAAAATTTGGTTTCCTGTCATAAATTCACTTGTCCCATTTTCGAAATAATTCATATGATTCACTCACAAATATTAGAAAGATAATAAATTTGTATATTACAGAAACGCGTTGACAGTAGATTACTTGATGAAAATTATACTCATAGAACTCCGAAAAATAGCCAATAAATTAAACAAAAAATTAATGAAGAAAATTAGTAATATCGATGAACACAAAAATTATTTTTGAAAACCTATTATATCTTCAGATTAGCTTGTTCATACCTTAGGATTGTACTCTATGGCTTTGATAAATTATATTTTTTTGCGAATAAAAATGATAATTAAAACAATACGCACAGCTATACGTCTCATAGAGGCGATATATTGTCTTGTGACATTCAAATTTTTTTTTTTTTTTGTAAACTAGTTATCTCGTATTCACTGCAGAAAAATAGCATCTATCAAACCAGCATCTCGTAAAAACTTTAATCATCTTTTACAACTGTTATCACTACCCATTAGTTTTTATACCAATTCAACAAACAGTGCCGTCAAATTGATTGTCGTTGACAATTGCAAAATGTTAATACAACACGCCATTTAAAAATGAAATCTTTTATGTTGGACATTTTTAATAATGACTTGTAATACCAAGAAGTTGGTCATCACTAAAAAAAGAATTCAATTGAGTATTGAAAAACACCAGACTACATACTCCAGAAAACCACAAAAATCACCGAAGCGCGTCAATTGGCCGTGAAAAATTAATCAACCAAAGCTGCTCGCTGTATAGCAAAGCTCAATTACATCGGAAGGCAACAGGGCGCACCACCTCACATTCTTTCATGCCCAATCGCACACTCGTACCCTTTTTTCTCGTCCTTCGGAAAAAAAAAAAAAAAAAAAAAAAAAAAAAAAAAAAAAAAAAAGAAATACGCAAGATTAAGTCGGCCAAGTTTTGCGTACGTAAAAAGTCTCTCTCTTCCCAACGAGGCCTTCACTATTTCAGCAGAACAAGCAAAATCTCCCGCTTCGGAAGTTCAAATGCACAAACGCGATCTCCCCGCCCCCTTTGACAAAATTAGCTGTAGAAAAAGCCGCCGATGTGCCTCTGTACGAGACACACATACGTGGAGCACAGCCCGCAGTGCTTTGATCTGTATTGATGCCGATCAAGACAGGCTCCAAGGATAAACAAGCTTTAGAGGGAACTGGAGGGAAAAACAGGAATTTTATTCGATTCACACCTTTGCGTACCTTCACTCGAACAGTATGTACGACTTTTCCGTCACTTTATCCCCTCGTGCTCCTTGCCGATCACTGCTGGATGCACTTTTACGTATCCCAATATCTTTCTTATCTCCAGAACCGATTTTTTTTTTTTTTTTTTCAAAAAAATTCTGCCAGCAGCCTGAAATTCGTCTTGCCGATCTCACCGATTTCGTACTCCGCTTTGGCACGATGAAGCTCACACTTCCCGCAAAGCTCGAGCTGGCGACTTTACGGCGCACAAACGCGGCTTTCGGCTTAATTCTAAATTTGACTCTTAATCCGATTATTCCTCCCGGCTTGCAACAACAAACGCGTGCGTGCTTTGCTTGATAAAATCTAAAGTCCTACATTTCGAAACGCGAGTGTATACGGGGTGTTTTTGTCAGAGTTGCGAAGAACACCGGTCCTCGGCGTTATACACTGGACACTCCCGCGCGTGTCGTGTGAATTATATCGTGCGTGTGTTCCGAAGGTTCTTTCCACCGGTGGTAGGTAGAGGTGGACTGACGGAACCGCTGGCCGACGACGATGACTCTCCGCACGCGGTGAGAGAGAGCAGCGCGGGGCCAGCGGGTATTTGTGCCGACAAAAATAACGTATTTCTGTGCGCATTCACACTCTCTCTCGCGAGCTCATATATATATATATTGTTGTACGTTCGCGAGAGAGCGCTCTCCCTTTCTTTTTTCCAGCTGCGTGCGTGCACTTGCCTCGGTTTTTTTCTTCTTCTTCTCTTTTGGCTTAAGCTGCACTTGCGCGAGCCACTGCGTAAGCTTATTAGCACATTTGGTAGAACGAGCCGATCTTCAAGAGGAGAAAAAGAGAGTGAGGGGAATCGCCTTCTCGGCACTGACAATTTGAGGACGATTATACAATATCTCAAGAGAATGATTTATATGCGGCTGATGGACTTGCGCGGGGATTCGATGAGAACATCGCGGTGAAATTTGACCGCGTTTTTGTCCCCGGTTGATTTGTTTTTGCGAACCTTTTTTTAGGACGTGTGAAATAATATCGTTTACTCGGCTATTTGGGTCATTACGATTACTATCCGCGCATAAAATGCTTCGTTTCAATACATGTTGGATCAAATGATTGGAAAACTGGGTTTACACGTAGCAAAAGTTTTATGGTTTTTCTCCCAACATTCAGAAATGTCTATACTTGATATCGAAGTAACTCAAACACTGTGTTCATGGTCGAAACCATGAATTATTCATGCCTCTTTAGCTGCGATGTTAAATTACCAAGCTCCAGAAGCCATACTCATACCATCGGGTCATTAATCATTGTTTGTAAAAGCTATTGCAAATACTGAATGAGCTCAGATGTACCTACTAAGCAACGATGTTGAGACAGGGAATAGTTGATAGTACAAAAACTACACTTTGGACTTAACTGTCCGGTCTGTATATAAAGTAAGCCAACAAATCTTAATTTGGGTTCGTACTTCATACAGCACTTTTGGATTTATTCCTAAAGTGTTTAAAATTATAAAACTATTAAATATCAGTTGTTATTAATAAAAGATTTTTATCTCAGTACTTTTAGGTTTTCAATTACTAGTTTAACAACTTAAATCTAATGGTTATACGCTCTAAATACCAATAACCCTATGAGTTAGCTACTTAAAACCGTATATTCCCGTCGTAAGTGCTGTCATAACCTAAAACGTCATATTGTGAGTCTTATCCTTGGTATCCTTGGGGTTTTCTTTAAAAGGTAGAGAACCCCGTATCGATCAGTAGCAGCTTCTAGAACTCATAGACTATTTTTAACTGTATGGTCAACGGCAAAGAGTTTCCTAAAACCTGAAAAATCCTAAAACTGCTGGAACTACAAACTTAACTAAAAGTTCTTGAATTTGAAAACTGTCGGTAATTAAAATAAGTTATATGTTTCGAAAATTCTATGATAATATATTGTTGGATTTCAGAAATATCCATTTATTATCCAGCCTTTAGGAAAATACAATAGCCCAGATATACAGGGGTAAAAAAATTTATAAACTTCTTAGAGTACAACAGCTTGTTGTAGAGTTATTCAACAGCTTGTTATAGAGTTATTTGGTTAAAAAATGTTTTTTGTGAGATTTTAGGATATATTACCAGCAATAATTTATAAGAATGTAGTAATAAAGTCTCGAGTACTTTTTTTGTACCTTTGTAGTCAAGATCCACTTAGATTTTTGGTACATCCAGTCATTACTATCCTTCGTTTTCATAATAATCTAAGTGAATAAAAATGCATTTATTTTTTTTACAGGTGATACCTGATTAAAAGCGTGCAATAGATAGTTTGCATCATGGTTAGTTGTAATCCTCAATAAAAATTTAAATAATGTTGATATCATTCGTTTTCCTTGTTACGTATAACATATACCTACCAACATAAAAACGTACCAAAATATTCAACACACATTTTTCAATCGTGTTTACTTTTTCTGAAAATAAATTTCAAATTTAAGAAAATATAAAAAATTCTTTATCGAATACCATTGGACCAGACTGTCTTGAAAAAAAAAAAAATCGGCAAAATCGGAAAAAGTTGTACCCTACCACAACCACGTCTTGGACTGTCTCTCTTCGCGAAACGATAATTTCGTAACTGCTCGTTCGAACTAAAAAAAAAGGATCGGTAAAATCGATACGCGTACAGTGCCGCGATGCAGTCAGTGAATGAAGACCGAGAACGCAAAGCAGGGGAAAATACAAGTGTATTAATAACTTGGATGGCACCGTTGTGTATATATCGGCATCAGCAGCGCCGTTCGGCGTTATTTTTGCCTCCAAGTGCCCGCAACCCCATTTGGTTGCGACGCTTGTCTCGATAAAAGTAGTAAAAGGAACCGAGCGCTCTACTCTTCGACTAGTTTCTTTCGCACGAGCAAAAAAACGTCGACTGATTGCCGTGTTCGTTCGTTCACTCGTCTCCGTCCTGGCCTTTTCTGACTTTTTTCTGCTCTTGATCTTTTTCCAACTGTATTTATCAACCTGATTTTTACTGCTAGGCTCGGAATCGCTCGACAGACGGGTAATGTTTACGCGATACAAAAATATTTTCTTAGCCGTTCAGCTGTCGATCGAAAAAATTATGTAATGAAATTACGTGGTACTAACCGCAGATATTTATTCTATTTTACATCACATTACAGCTATTAATAAATTCTTATAGTGAGAGTCTGATCAATAATTACCACGTATTTTCGACTAATTAGACAAATGTATTTTCGAACGAGACACGAGCGAGGGATTCAAGGACTGGTAACTTACCAACTTCGATTTTTGCGTCACAGATCGCCTTCCCTGACGAATTCTCGGCCACGCATGAAATAGTGCCTGCGTGCACACTTCCTACTTCCGGAATTGTTAGCACCTGCCGATCGCCGCTGACGGATACGAGGAAGTCTTTTCCGTGCACTGGTCGTTCGTTGAAGAGCCACTGAATCTGTATAGGATGGTTAATTTTTCCTTTTTTTTTATTCAATAAATTTTGTGAGGAAAAATTTTAGTTTTAATACTATAATTGAGTGTAAAAACATTTAAATAATTCATTTGTTGTTATCAGTTGAGTAAAAAAAAAAAATTTCAACAACTCGTGTTGTATTTTATTTTTACGGGACGTCCTACTAGTGCAACTGCATTTCAATTGCAAGATTAATGAAAAAGCTGTATGATTCCCAAAATAATCATGCGTCATAAGTGGCACACATGAATTTTATTTCTCATTCGTATGAATAGCCAGACGTAAGAACATAAACACAAATTATTTTTAGATTCCAGACGAGTATTTTCGATACCACTTATTAATATAGAAACAGTGTGGAGTAATTAACACTCAAGTTCACTTCACGCGCACGTGAGAATATGCACTTTTCAACTGGAAATGTGGGTCACTGGCAGGGTACATAGAGCAAAAAAAGAAGAGACTATTTTCAGATGGAGATTTCTTCTATTCCTATGTGACTTCCACTCAGCGCTTTTCGAAGGCCACTCTTCTGAATTCAAACATCAAGAAAAAGCATATCGTCTTTTGCGTAGTTATTGACTTACTGTAATAGTTTTTTTGATCTATTCTGTTTTATTAATTTTTTTTTATTTT